TCCCCAGCCTTCCTGTAGGCTCCCTTCAGGTACTGGAAGGCTGCTATTAGGGCTCCCCGGAGCCTCCTCTTCTCCAGGCTGAACAACCCCAGCTCCCTCAGCCTGTCCTCGTAGCAGAGGTGCTCCATCCCCCTGATCATCCTCGTGGCCCTCCTCTGGACCCTCTCCATCAGGTCCATGTCCTTCTTATATTGAGGGCTCCAGACCTGCACACAATACTCCAGGTGAGGTCTCACCAGAGCAGAGTAAAGTGGCAGAATCCCCTCTCTGGACCTGCTGGCAACACTTCTTTTGATGCAGCCCAGGATTTCAGATAAGAACGACAGATTCCTACGTACAGCACACAGGAAACACAGTAATTTAGAGCTACTATATCTACAATATTCGATCAAGAAGGAGAAAAGGAGGCTTTTATCACCCAAAACGACACTCAGGATTTTAGTGTTAACGTTCAGAACTTGGAAGCAGTTCATCCTACAACCGAGGTCCTACCACGAGGGGATAACAGTCAGGCCAGCAGCTCCCCACGCCAGCAAAGCACACCTCAGCTACTGAAAACTAAACAAATTAATTCAGAGATTTACAGCACTGAGTTTACACCGGAGTTATTCATATACTTTTGAAACCAGGTCGTCTTCCAAAAAGCTACACACTGAAATCGTTTGGGAAAAGGTCTGTGAATGTGCCCTCATTTTACAATAAACATGAATTAAAAAAAAAAATACATAAAATATTATGTAGACTTCACCAGATTTATTCATGAAGACTATAAAAAGGAGCATAGTATCATATGTGCTGGAAACAGAAACATTTAAACAAAGGCACATATGTCTTGTCTTTTTGGGCTAGCCCATACCATTTTCACAAGATATTCTGGTGATGCAGGAACTGCTTCCAGACACCCAAAATGTCCCAAGTTTTCCTTTCATGAATCAAAAGATTCACTTGTTTTGTAGCTCCAAGCATTCAAACTGCTTTGAACCCCATTTGCCCTAGAAAACAGCCCAGCAGAAGCAGTATCGCTACGATGAGACAGTGTCTATAGAGAAATAAAACCAACCAGGGACAAATCAAAGACAGAATCTCCTTCTGACTCCCCAAAATGAAGTTAAGGACAGAATGCTTCTTTATTGTGAGACAGTGTCTATAGAGAAATAAAACCAATCAGGGACAAATCAAAGACGGGCATCCCCTTCCCACTCCCTAAAATGAAGTTAAGGACAGAAATGCTTCTTTATTATCTCTGTTACCTTTGATCCAGAAGTTAGCAACACAACCACTGCTGTGTTTTTTTTTCTTTGGATCCACTTTGGCTTTTCTCATTTCGCTTTCAAAAACATTGCCACAAAAAGAAAAAAATCCAAATTTATTTATTTTGAAAGTAACCACGAAATGATTTTTGAAGACATATTAATGAAGGAAAAGAAAGAGTCCAGCGAAGGGCAACAAAGATGATTCAAGGATTGGAGCATCTCCCTTATGAGGAGAGACTGAGAGAGCTGGGACTCTTTAGTCTGGAGAAGAGAAGGCTGAGGGGAGACCTTATCAATGCCTACAAGTATCTCAAGGGAGGGTTGAAGGAGGAGGGAGCCAGACTCTTTTCAGTGGTTCCCAGTGAGAGGACGAGGGGCAACGGGCACAAGTTGGAACATAAGAGGTTCCACTCAAATATGAGGAGAAACTTCTTCACGGTGAGGGTGACAGAGCCCTGGAACAGGCTGCCCAGGGAGGGTGTGGAGTCCCCTTCTTTGGAGATTTTCAAGACCCCCCCTGGATGCTCCTGAGTAACATGCTCTGACAAGCTCTAGGCAATCCTGCTTCAGCAGGGGAGTTGGACTAGATGATCTCTATGGTCCCTTCCAACTCTAAAATTCAGTGAAATTCAGTGAAAAGAGACATTATTCAGTAAGAGGTGCAAGTAGGCAGGCTACTCCCAGTTTCCACCCACCATGGGGTCTTACCTTCAGGTGGATTCTTGTTCTGGTTGTTCCAGACAACTAACAATTTGGACAGACTGGGCACTTTGGACACCTCCGTGATGACTCGGAAAAGGCTCTCCACCCGGTCATAGGTGAGGACTACGGCTGTGAACCCTTGGGACTGAGGTGGGATCAGGGGAAGGAAGAGTGGGTTGCTCACACTGCTCCATTTCTGCAAAGGAAAACAAGAGAACAGGAAAACAATTTGATTAACGTGAATTATCACAGCAGTGGGAGCAATTATTACAGTAGGGAGTAATACACGTAGCCAGGACCTAACCATCAGATTTGGAATGTGCTCAGATCAGGCAGGTTGACTTCCCAATTCTGGCAGAAGCGGACTACAGCAAATTTGTCAAAACCTCTATTCCAATCTCTTTCTTGATTCAGTTTTCATTTTTGCCTGGCTGTAACATTGCAAATGAGAAGGGTTCTACGTAAAAAAATAAAGTGGAAGAGGCAGACAGATTTATAGAAAACAAAAGCCACGGTGAATTTTGAAGCCAGCCAGCATGACTCAACTCTTATTTACTAATGACTATTTCAAGACATTTATAGTCAGGGCTCAATAACCAAAGATAAACTTAATCAGTACTACACTTTCAGAGGAGAAAGAGAGTTAACAACAACAAAACCAAAGCAGCAAAAAACATAGAATCATAGAATTGCCCAGGCTGGAAGGGACCTCCAAAGGTCATCTAGTCCCACCTCCCCACAGTCAGCAGGGACACCCCCAACTAGACCAGGTTGCCCAGGGCCTCGTCGAGCCTCTCCTTGAATATCTCCAGGGAAGGGGCCTCAACCACCTCCCTGGGCAACCTGTTCCAGTGCTCCACCACCCTCACAGTGAAGAACCCCAATCATAGAATAGTCCAGGTTGGAAGGGAGCCTTAAGATCATCGAGTCCAACCATCAACCTAACACTGACAAACCATGACCAAACCATATCCCTCAGCACCACATCTGCCTGGCTTTTAAATCCTTCCAGGGATGGGGACTCCACTGCTCCCCTGGGCAGCCTCTTCCAATGCTTGATAACCTTTTTGGTGAAGAAATTCTTCCTAATATCCAATCCAAACCTCCAAGATAGACCAAACCCTGTCCTTACTGTGTAACTGACCTACCGAGAGAAAGAAGAGAATCCAAAAATAAAAGGGCATGAGATGCAAAGATGAATTTCAGAGAGTTATCTACTCCTTGTGAATTTTAATGAGGGCATCCCTTTAAAGACTTTAAAGGTCTTCAATACCCTGCCAGTGTAAGGAAGTCAGCTCAGGCAGCAGAAGACAAGGCAGACAACAAAATTCTCCCTGAGATGTGCCAACCTCCTTGGGAGCCGCCAACCCCAGGGGAGGAAGCAGAGAAGGGACCATTCGCCAGGAATGAAAGCGCCCAGTGTTTCAGTCTCAATTTTTCCATTCCAGCTGACGTTTCCAGCAGGGGTTGGACAGGGAAGCAAAGGGGAAAAACAAGACCTTTTGGGACGAGGTGAAAAGGGGAGTTGGGAAAACAGAAAGCGAGCGATGCCGTTTCGCGGGGAAGTCTTGAATCCCAGCCTGTAAAAACTATGAGCCTGTAAAAAATAAGAGGTTAGTAACTGCCAGCAGTTTACAGAAATGCTGTGAAAATCTAAACTCACACCATAAGCCTGTGTGTACGAGGAGGAAAGCAAGTTTTACAGACTCAAAAGTTATCAGCTCATATTGGGAGGAAATAAACTTTGCGATTCTCTGTTTCCTGATTGAGTCTGCGGGTTGCTTTATACACCCAACAGTTACCCTCCTCACATTTAGTGGTTAGACCCTCTAACTAGAGTAACTCCAAGGATGAAGAGAAGAGAAAGCCTATTTACTACAAGAGATCATTATATTTTGACCATTTTGGCAAAGGCAAAAAAAAAAATATGATACAAGTATGATTTCCTTCTATGAACACCATGAACAACATCAACAGTGAAGGAGGGTTAAATAGGTGAAATGGAGAAACTTATTTATCCTTGTTTTATCTAGGATGGTCTAAGGGTAGGTTCCAGGCACGGGTCTGTCAGCAGGATACCCGTTAGCAGACTTCCTGAAATAATTGGAAAGAAGGACTAGTCTCCAGCTTCATCGAGTCTGGTACAGGTAGAGTTCAACATAAACTGTTTGTGAGGTTCCTAATGGAAAGCGTGAAATTCTAGTTTTCACCCAAGAGAGTAATAGAATGATGTAGAAATAGTAACATCAGAAGATAGAATTTGGGTTTGTGGCTACCTGTGACAGCACAGGACTACACTCAGTAATTCACAAAATACAGATTCCTTACTTTAGCAATTAATATGTGCAGAGACAAACCTGCTTTCAGATTATTTTCTAAAATGAAAGCTTTTAGACATACTTCTGCTAACTTTACTAGAAGACTGGTGGCAGATGGGGACAACCCTCTGATTTTCCTCCGCCTTCAATAATTCCTACGGCAAATCACAATCTAAATGTTACCAGAGCATAATCCATCTCATTAAAGCTTTACGGGCTTGTTTCCACACAACCCCCCACCCCAAGACTGCTATTACCCAAATGACCCTTGTAACGCTGAGCAGCTTCTTAAAACAACTTTCAGAAACTTCTTTTCATTAATACTTGAGGCAGAGGTTTAACGTCACGCTCAGCAGAGAGCCAAGAAAATAACACATTTCTGCCCTACAAGAAAAAAATAAAGGGTAGAGAAATCTATGGACAATGCTGTATTTCTTACTTACAGGTGAATATTGCCACCCAAATCAGTGGATCCCACTTAAAACTTAATTAGCAACTTTTTCTCTCTGGCCACAGCATTTCCTAACAAATTACTCACTATAATATCCTGGGGAAAAAATAATCTTGGAAAACTATTATTCCTTTTTTATCATCTACTCTGTCTTTATCACCTACAATAAGACTATTGTAGGTACTTATAGAAAAAAAAAATATAAATGTACGCGTGCAAGCACATGCAAACGTGCCTGAAAACATGATGCTTTCTCTGAAAAACTGAAGTTTTGGGACATTACTTAAATTCCATCTTTTACTGCTTTCAGAAAGGCATGAAAATTCTCCCCTGCCAGTTATAACATAGGGAAAATACGGCAACTTTTGAGGTGTTTTTGCCCCTGCATCTACTAAAGGGTGATGGAGGGAGGGAAAAGCCTGTAGACACACACTAATGGATGGGAGAGCCAAGCCTCTCATTTGAGAAAAACATTTCAAAAAGGCAATTAAGCATCTCTCAAGTGCCATTAAGAGCCAACCCCCTGCTGCCTGCCTGAAGAGTGTGTCTACAGTCTGAGACCTATTGACCCCACTTGCTGCAGGAAATCAGGCAAATTCAAGCCTCCATAATTTGCTAAAGTCTTCCAGATTTCTGCTTGGGAAAAGCAAACCATACAGGGCAATTAATTCAACAGCAACCTAATTAAATCTCCATTATGGCAGCAAAGCATGAAATGGATAATGACACAGGGATGGGTTCTCCCAGTCACTGGCTCAAGAAACCAAGTGGTGAAGGAACATTTGCTCCAGTCCCATCTTTATTAGCATTTTTGATGGAAATTCAGGGGAACTTTCGCTCTCAGAGAGAAGAGCAAACAGCAACATGGGACTGATCATCCATCACCTTTCTTTGACAAGGGGTTGACACTCAGCTGTGGATAAGACAACCCTTCACTCTTGCCCTCCCAGCTATTATCATTAGAGGAGCCAGGAGAATTGACCTAGAATTAACAGGTTGTTTGCCAGGAATCATTTTTAGGGACAAAAATTATCAAGCTCAAATGCCAGCTTCCTAAGAGTCATCTCATGTCCCGTAAGTCTCTCAGTCTCAGTTGTCTGATGGCTCTTTGCAGTTCCCACAAAAAGATAAAGTAGGGGGACCTGAATGACAGTGAGAACTTAGGGATGGCCTGAAGCTGGGATGGAGGAGAATCCAGGACTGGGTGAGCATCCAGGGAAGGATTAAGGCTTCTGCAGCTCTCCCGTGCATGCTTTCCACAAGTGTCCACGTGGAATAAGGAGTTAGAAATACAACACCTTCCTTTACTATAGATACATTAAATATTGCTCCCCTTCCCAGTCATTAAAAACAATTTTAGGAAAAGCTAATACGTTAAGGACAAGGTATCAAGGGAGCTGAACTCTCATTATGTGGGAAGCTCAAGGTTGGACTCAACGTGGAGGCTTCAGGTTCAAGTTCAAAGAGAAGTCTTAAAATTATCTTAAGTCTTCTTGGCAGGATATGGAAGTGAGACAGATAAGAGCTTCAGGACGTCAATTAACACAACCAGACCGAAAACTGGCCAATCTTTATAAATGCTACAGGACCTCAAATGCATTGGCAAAATACCAGACGGACCTAAGAGAGGGTTTCTTTTCTCAAGTCACAGGTGACAGGACAAGAGGAAATGGCCTCAAGTTGCCCCAGGGGAGGTTCAGGCTGGATATTAGGAAAAAATTTTTCACTGAAAGGGTTCTCAGCCATTGGAATGGGCTGCCCAGGGAGGGGGTTGAGGCCCCATCCCTGGAGGTGTTCAAAAGACGGGTTGATGTAGTGCTGGGAGGTCTGGTTTAGTGATGATGCTCCTTGTTTGTTGTGTGGGTGTCTATTTTTGTCAGTTAGGTTGACGGTTGGACAAGATGATCTTTAAGGTCCCTTCCAACCTAGAAGATTCTGTGATTCTGTCCTACCCCAAAATTTCTTATTTGGGTGTACGCCAGGTGCCACTGAAGAAAGACACAGCAGACACATTACAAACTGCACCATGGAACAGGCTCTAGGAAAACAGGGCTGTGTAGGATGTCCCATATTACGGGAAGGAGCCAAGTACTTCCCAGGTATCAATTAATGGGAAAATTCAGCAATTCTTCTCCAGAAGAAGAACATTTCACTGCTCCCACAAACAATTCAGTGGGTTTTCCCCCCCTCTGTGTATTTTATTTTCAACAACCGGACTCGGTGCTGGTTGTAACCAACATATTAGTGAAACCACACAGTTTGAACAACAACAACTCACCTTCTTTTAAAAGCACAGAGGTAAGGACAACGGCACGTTGAACTTAAACAGTAGCTAAGCAGTTCTATACACCCGAGCAAAGCTGGGATATATATCCCCTGCCTCAGCTGGGTTGTTCTGAATATCAGTCTAACCTCAATGTGGTTTCA